CTCACAGAGTTCAGTATGGAAAAAATGGACTGTTCTGGTCCTGAAGCCCTGGGGCAAAAGAGTGGAAGCTGATAATGTCTGGCTATCCAGGGTATTACACAAAGAGATCTGTTGGGAGAAAAATAGAGGCTGCTACTGGTCTTCTGAAAAGGCATTCTGCCTGGCAGTCATGCCTGATGTAATGGTTTCTATGAGTCCTGAGCAGGGGCGGACTGACCATTTGGAAACTCGGGCACTGCCGAGGGCCCGGGGTCAGTAGGGGGCCCCATGAGATGCCCCTGGTACCTTTTTCATAGGCTTTTTTGAGTTTGGGCAAGGACACAGGGGTCCCATGATCCCCTATTGCCCAGGGGCCCCATGAGTTGTCAGTCCGCCCCTGGTCCTGAGTCAATTATTTTGAACATGCACTCAGCCAAGGAAATCAAAACAAAATCAAGTCCATTTGTGCAAGATTTCGGTCACTGGGGATTCAGTATTGAAGACATTAGTTCAGCTTGACAGCCAGGAAAATAGTATTCTCTAGTGATTCTGAGTCACACCTGCACATAATAGAAAAGTAGGGCTCATTCACCTACATTACGTGTGTCGGTGCACTGCCATTCCTTTTGAATATTGTGCCCCAAAGTTCCTACATGAGACATCTGCATATACAGTCAACCTCAAGACACAGGAACAAAAATGTACTGTAGTGTGCTAGCAAACATGCAGCAGATCTAATTTTTTTTTTTTGTCTGTTGTGGTGCACCATAAAAACAGAAAAAAACCCAAACCTACATACTCACCCCTATGCTGCAGGTTCGGTGTAATGCTGCAGCTGTTCCATGTTGGCCCTAAGCCTGAGAACTGAATGATCATTTGACCATTGATCACTCAGTTCTCAATCTGTGGAGAGCAGTGACTGTCCGTCACCGCTCTTTTCTCTGCCCCTCCAGCGCTTACTACTGGGGCACCAGGCTGGAGAAAAGGCGGGTGCAGCTGACTTTGGCCCTCAGCTGCACACTGAGAGGCAGAGTCAGCTGTACATCAGGCAGCTGGGTGAATCTCGACAATATTATCAGGAATCTTCCAGAGTTTGGAGTGGCTCTGCTACATCAGCTGAGAGCAGGCAATTAGCTAACTGGCTCACAGGATAGCAAAAATAAGTGTGCTCTTGTGACAGACAAGAGAAATATGGCCAAAAAAATGGACCTTCACAAGGCTGGAAAGGGCTACGGGACAATTGCCAAGCAGCTTGGTGAAAATAGATCAACTGTTGGAGCAATCGTTAGAAAATGGAAGAGGCTAAAGACGACTGTCATTCTCCCTCGGACTGGGGCTCCATGCAAGATCTCACCTTGTGGGGTATCACTGATGATAAGAAAGGTGAGGAATCAGAACTCAGGGGAGGAGCTGGTCAATACAAGGGAGGAGCTGGTCAATGACAGTTTCAAAGGTCACTATCGGTAGAACACTACGCTGTCATGGTTTCAAATCATGCATTGAACGGAAGGTTCCCCTGCTCAAGTCATCACATGTCCAGGCCCGTCTGAAAGTTTGCCAATGACCATCTGGATGATCCAGAGGAGGCATGGGAGAAAGTCATGTGGTCAGATGAGACCAAAGTAGAACTTTTCGGTCTAAACTTCACTCGTCATGCTTGGAGGAAAAAGAAGGATGAGTTGCATCCCAAGAACACCATCCCTACTGTGAAGCATGGAGGTGGTAACATCATGCTTTGGGGGGTGCTTTTCTGCGCGGAGGGGATAGGACGACTGCACTGTATTAAGGAGAGGATGAATGGGGCCATTTATTGTGAGATTTTGAGCAACAACCACCTTCCCTCAGTCAGAGCATTGAAGATGGGTCGTGGCTGGGTCTTCCAACATGACAACGATCCGAAGCAGACAGCCAGGATAACCAAGGAGTGGCTCCATAAGAAGCATATCAAGGTTCTGGAGTGGGCTAGCCAGTCTCCAGACCTAAATCCAATAGAACATCTTTGGAGGGAGCTGAAACTCCGTGTTGCTCAGCGACAGCCCCGAAACTTGACAGATCTAGAGGAGATCTGTGTGGAGGAGTGGGCCAAAATCCCTGTTGCGGTGTCTGCAAATCTGGTCAAGAACTACAGGAAACGTTTGACCTCTGTAATTGCAAACAAAGGCTTCTGTACCAAATATTAACACTGATTTTCTCAGGTGTTCAAATACTTATGTTCAGCAGTGCAAGACAAATTCTTTAAAAATTATATAATGTGATTTCCTGAATTTTTTTTTTTAATTCTGTCTCTCAGAGTGGGAATGCACCTACAATGTGAATTTCAGACCCCTCCATGATTTCTAAGTGGGAGAACTTGCAAAATCGCAGGGTGTTCAAATACTTCTGTTCCTCACTGTAACAGACTAGACCAACCCTGACTCACTTTTACATAGCATCAACTGTGGGGGAACGTTGGGAAGCTATTTTGAAATGCGCAGTGCCTGTGACCCTCCTCCCAGATTTCAAGGCTAAGGCGTGGGTGGCCAATCACTAGGTGAGGGAGGGGATGACATCAAGCCTATGTAAACTCTGACATGTGACACAGAGCTTACACATGGGTTGACTTGTTCAGGAACAAAATGGCAGTAGACTTCAAGGAATAGAAGTGGGTTGGGAAGTGAGTTAGTAGGAAACATTCAGGACAAAATAACAAAAATCTCTTTAAAGCGTACAGAGACTTTTAAATTAAGTGCACTCATTCTTTTCACCCCCCTTCCCTGGTCTAACCTAGCCTCCCCTTCCTCCAACCTCAATCCCACAGTCGGCACCTTCTAGTGTTTGCTTCCATCCAGTGAGAAAAGTCTGCAGTGTCCCAGCTGCACCTGCATGATAGCTCCCCATAGAATCCTATGCAGCCGCCCCAGACCTCTAGACACAGGCCAATAGACGTCTCTGCTGATGTACTGCGCAGGAATGGCTAGCACACTGAAGATTTTCAGCGCAGAATGTAGAGGAACACCAAAGTTTGCGACCGTTGGATCAAAATCAGTTTACATCTTGGCAGAGAGGGTTAGGTTAAATATGAATTCGAGATATAGATATTTTATACATAGTTACATATAAAACAAAGAATAAGCACAAAGGTTAAAGTCCTTCTGTATAGAATCCAGATGTGAATGGATTCAAATGTCCATAACAGTCAGCACTAGGGCAAGCTAATCTAGGAGCTGTAGATGCGGCCCTTTGCTTGCTTTTATCCGGCCCCCTCAAGACATTATTCCTCCCACTGCAAGCAATAGTGTGGCATAGTTTCTCCCACTAACATCGACAATAGGGCACTATTCCTCCTATTGACACCAATGATGGGGCACTATTCCTCCTATTGACACCAATGATGGGGCACTATTCCTCCTATTGACACCAATGATGGGGCACTATTCCTCTTATTGACAACAATGATGGGGCACTATTCCTCTTATTGACAACAATGATGGGGCACTATTTCCCCCTTTGATACCAATGATGGGGCACTATTTCCCCCATTGATGCTAATGATGGGACACTATTTCTCCCATTGACACTAATGATGGGGCACTATTTCTCCCATTGACACCAATGATGGGGCACTATTTTTCCCATTGATACTAACGATGGGGCACTATTTCTACCATTGATACCAATGATGGGGCACTATTTCTCCCAATGATACTAATGATGGGGCACTTTTCCTCCCATTGATACTAACGATGGGGCACTATTCTTCTCATTGAAACCAATGATGGCGCACTATTTCTCCTATTGACAACAATGATGGGGCACTATTTCTCCTATTGAAACCAAAGATGGGGCACTATTCCTCCCCCTAATATCAATGATGGGGCATTGTTTACGCCCACTGCCGCCATGACATTTTCTTCTCCCATTGACCACAGTCCGGCCCCCCCTAAAGTTTGAAGGACAGTAAACTGACCCTTTGTTTAGAAAGTTTGGAGACCCCTGGTATAGAAGATAGGGAAAGAAGAAAAGCGCCTCTAAGTGCAATATGTCAGGTAATTTATTAAAACCCAATATAGGGCCACTCACATTTACATTTTATCCCTGTTTTATCCTTGTAAATTTGAGCTGCCCTATATTAGGTATTAATAAATTACCTGACACACTGCACTTAAGGGCACTTTTATTATTTCCTTATCTTCTATACATAGTTACATTGCTCCAGGTTTAACCACTGTAACTATGTATATACCATACCTGGCCGATGCCCCTGGAAGCTGGAAATCACCGAATTCTCTGAATGGTACCCATGCCGAACAGGTAATCTCCTGTGTTCAGAATACAGAAGAGCAGCTGCTTGCCATGGGACCCAGAAGCAATTAAAGACCTTTGTAGTAGGGATGTCCACAGCAATGATTTCCAGGAGCATCGGCTAGGTTTGGTATATACATAATAATATTGGTACAGGCTGTATAAAATATCCATACCTGGAATTCTTCTTTAAGTCAGGATAGAGGGGGCAAAAAGGATAAGCAGAGTGGGCTTTCTGACCCTAGAACAGTGTTTGTGAATGTAATCAGTCCCAGGTTTGCATGGAGGGGCTCTTTAAGGATCAGGGCTGGGAAGTTGATGTGAACGCTCTGTGTTTGGATCATGAGTTCAGTTTAATGTGAACCCTCTCAGCTGACATGACGTGTGATCTGGGGACAGCGGATAACACAATGGCTGCTTCTGTTTTAGCCTGTGGGAAGCAGGCAATTAGAGTGACAGGTGTTCAGCGACGTGCAGAATTGTCTTTGTGCTGCAGAATTGTGTACATGTCTGGAGACAGTCCATGGCCAGATAGCAGCACCTTCTGATCCGCGCACAATACACCTTATTTCCTAACAAAGAGCAAATGTGCCCAGAAATAGAATTCATTTTATTGTCTGATGACATCTATACAGTCTAATTACCTGCAGATGGGTTTACGTACAGACAAAGCAGACAGGAGGGGAGGGAGGGGTCAGTATATCAGCTGCTTAGTATATATTACATATTTATTTATTTACTTTCCATTAAAAAAAAAACCCCTCAAAAACAAAAAACAAAAAAACCTCAAAAACAAAAAAAAAACCATGGCCTGCTGGGGCTCATTCACACCACATCCAATGAGCTGCATTGATCTGCATGCAATAACCCAAGCCCATGGCAGGGGCACATAGAAAGCACTTGTTCTCTGTGTGCTTTGTTCACACCATACACATGCATTGTGTGTGCTGAGTAAAAGTGCAGCATGTGTGAATGTTTACACAGCACAACTCTTGTGGTATGGTGCCAACATACACACACACATCACAAACCAGAACACACATTTTTAGCGTGCAGGCTGGTGTGAATGAATGCTAAAAGAAATAAATTGTTTAAATTTTAAATGACATATTAAAAAAAATAACACTGAAGAACTAATGTCTGGTAATACAAAGCTGTAAACCAACAATACCATTTTTTGCCTTGTCAGCTTTTTTCAACTTTTCAAAAAGTAAATGTTATGACTGAGAGTAGGCAAGGTACGTTGTCTGATAATATAGTTGTATTAGAAAGGCCACTTTTGTTCACCCCTGTTATTCTGGTATTCCTCTTGTTTTTTAGCCACAGCTTAATCTGAATCTAAACTCCACTCATATGCCTTCCCTATTTCTCAGTGAGCTTGACCAGTGAGGAACTGTCATTGTACAGTGGGATAGCATGGGGCTTGGTCTAAAAGACTGGGAAATCTAGCCCTTAGTAGCAGAGTGAAACCATAATCAGAGGGGTACACGAACTAGGCTTTTTTTTACATTAACAAAGGTAATAGTAGGTAGTTTGCAGTACCTGTTCTTAGTCATTTAAAATCCTTGTAAAGCAAGAATCCTGCCTGACAGCTTTTGTTTCTGTATCTATTTTCTGTATACCTTAAAACTGATTTCAAAGTAAACTCCTAAACACATAGCTGAATCAAAAAAATTGGTGATCGATATTAACCACTTCAAGTCTGGACACTTTCACCCCCTTCCTGTCCAGGCCAATTTTCAGCTTTCAGCGCTTTCACACTTTGAATGACAATTGTGCAGTCATGCAACACTGTACCCATATGAATTTTTTAGCATTTTTTTGAGACAGATAAAACTTTATTTTGGTGGTATTTATTCACCACTGGGATTTTTATTGTTTTGCTATATAAAATGAAAAAGTCCAAACATTTTGAAAAAAAAAGTGTTTTTCTTATAAAAGTTTGCAAATAAATAATCTTTCTTCATAAATCTTGGCCAAAATGTATTCAGCTATCTTTTTAGTAAAAAAAACTAACCCAAGTTAGTTTATAACCAAAAATTATAATTTTTTAAAATAATTTTTACATTTTATTTTATTTTTTTATATTATTTATGGGGTTTTTTGGGGGGGGGGGGGGGGGAGGGAGGGGTTAACATACTGTCACCCCTAGCAGTACACTGTACTACCTGTGGGGGGGGTGATTTTTTTTTTTTTTTACACTGATTGCTTTTACAGCCATAAAGGCTGTAAAAGCAATCATTTCTCCTTCTCTCTGTCTGCATTCTTGCAGCCATTGAGAAATACTGTGAAAGCTGTGATTGGTCACAGCTTGTCACATGGTACAAGGCTGTTGTGAATAGCCTTGTACCATATGACCTCTGTGATCATTCACAGATTTCACTAGTAGTAAGCAATGATGTCAGAAGTGACATCTTGCCTACTACTATTCATGTGATCACTGATTGGCCAATCAGTGATTACATGATCAGAACATCACACTGAGGTCCCGTACAGCGATCAATGCTCCAGGGAGCGTGCGCAGGCAGGGAAGCGGGAGGACGTTTATAAAAGGCCACTCCTGCTGCTCCTATCCGGCCGTTTATGTACATGGGCCAGATGGGAAGTGGTTAATGGCAAAAGGCTGTTGAGCCAGCCTGGGGACCCTGACAGATACCGCAGCCATGTCCTCGACCTCTGCTATTGACTACCTTGCAATTAGGTGATAATTCTGATCCCGGACAAATCCCCAACCTGTGATTAGGCCACATGTGGTCATACCTGTGCTCTTCCTTCTGCAAGCATGTTTTAAATAGTCTGAGAACCCTGTGCAATGTAGTAGATCACAGATTGGCTCAAATGCTTTTCCTCCAAGTCAGTTTTGTGCTGCTGTGCAAAGATTACAGGTGGTTCATATCAGGATATATTCAGCTGTTCTATAGACATTCTATGGAAAATATATTAAATAATTATTTATTTAAAAACAAAACTAAACTAACTTTTTAATAAATCTTTCTGAAATTTTACTTTACCATGACTCCTTTGTGTTTTTTTTACAGAAATGTCCCAACACATCTCAGGAAATATCACATCTAACTGTTATGTTGGCTCCCACAGACATGTCAGCAGGCAGCAACGGTCCCTCCTCAGCTCTGATACCTCCAATCCCAGGTATGTCCTCACTTAAAGAGAACTCCTCACATCATGCCTATAGAGAACCCCCTAATGGAAGCTGTTATTCTCCATTTCCTGGGCTATGTACTGATTCTAGGGATGTTCTGTTCTGTTCTGTTCAGTGACTAGAAATGGGTATGTGGGCCATGCTTCCCTCTCAGGCTTCTCACACAGGCATTTTGCTTTCTCACAAACTCCTCTTTTATGGACAACTTTTTGAGTGAAACAAATCAACAAACATCTAAGGCCACCCAAGAAACAATGGAGTAGGACTGTAGTCCAGTTGCCCACTTTGAGTACATAAATCTAGGTTTATACAATACCACTGCAGTCAGATTTAGGAAAATAGTTACAGGGTTTCAGGGACGACCCAATGCCTCTGGTTATAACATTCTTGTCTGCTACACAGGAGTACCTGGCCTGCATATTCACAAGGGTCAGGTGATGGTGTACCAAGAACCATAGTCCTATCTATAAAGGAGTGGTCATGTATATACCTGTTCTGTATGTAGGGTTGCATTTTAAATATCGTACTGGTGAAATCATCTTGTATAGACACCTCTACTTATGCAAAAAGTATAACCAGGATGTGTTATTGGAGGCAGCAGGTTTTTATACACCAGGCTATTATTGAACATTACTGAGCACTAAGCAAAAGAGAGGTGGCATACTCTAGCTTCAGAAAGTCTTGTTACTCCTCTGAGTAGCCTCTGCATCATTCTCTCTGCACTTTTTTGTTTTTTGCTGGATTTAACTACAAGTGCTTAGAGATAGCGAGACAGGAACAATAAAATTATGAAAAACATTTTTGGTTCCATGTGCCTCTTTATGACCTTCATATCCTAGGCAAAGGCCCACAAGGGTAGCCAATGGTAGATATAGCTCCACCTGTATCCAGGGTGATGCTTGATTCTCATCCAGCCAGTGTCAGCCTGCTTTATACAGTCCTCTGTGGAAGTTCCACTGCCATCAAAGTAACGATGAAAACATAAAGTCATACTTCAGGTTGGCCTGTCCCATTTCCTGCACTAACCTTTATTTTGTAAAACATGTTTGCATACATAATTTTTCCTCTTTTCCTTTCTATCATTCGTCCCCTTCCCACTTTTCTTCCTTAGACAGTGGAAGGGGCCTGAATGCTACAGAGAATGTTATAATGACATGGTGCCCTTTCCAGCAGATTTCTTCTGTAAGCCTCCTATAAATTGATGACGCACCTCCAAGGGGTAAGGCCATGATCCCTGGGCTCACAGGCTTTGGGTATGGTTGCGAATGAAGCTACAAGGTCCCATGACCACATGATTTTTTTCCCTTTACAGTTCTGCTGTGCAGATCGGTCAGAGGTTGGCAGTCATTGGCGATGAATTCAACACAGCATACGAGGCAAGGATCCCAAACAAGATGGCGCACATTATCCGTGAATCAATGTACGTAAGGACCTGTTTACAAGTGCTGTGTGGAATCAGTATCTGCAGATAGGTCCATGTTACTGTTTACTTTGGTTGTGTAGTGTTTGTTTAAGAAAGAGATTTTTATTTTATGGCTTCGATGGTGACGCTGAGACCCGTTACAAAGGTCAGCCCATGAAATGTATAACAAAACAATACTAATTATCCTTGTTATGTTTAAAACCAAACTGTCATCCTCTTTTGAACTTTTTAAAGCAGAAGTGCTGTACTTTCCTTACTAGGAAGAAACCCCTGCTATGTGCACCCCTCTGAAACTAGTGCCAATTTTTTTGGACTTTCCTAGCTTCAGATTAAAGCTGAACTCCAGGTATGTCTATTTTGGATCAGTGCAAGTATGCATACCTCATACCTGAGGGACCACTTCTACAGTAATTGCCACAATCTTCCAGGACCTGTGCTGTGTGGCTGCCCCCTGCATTCTGACCACAGGGAGTCGCTCACTTGTTGGACCAATGTAACTAAATGCAATTAGGATTATACCTAGAGTTCAGCTTTAGGCCTCATGCACACAGATGTATATATGCATTAAATATGCCCAGCGTAAAAAAAACTGCGTTTTCCCATGGCTGGGGAGCTGAAGTTGGGAGGGTACAGCCTGTCATAGAAGTGAAAGGAGGAAGTTTCTTTGAAGATTCAGGTCTATGTTGATATGATTCCATCATGAAATTCTCCAGATTTGTCAGCTTCACATTCACACTGATCACAAAGGTATTGTATTGAGTCTAGATCTGGTGGCTGGTCTACCAACTGTGTGCCTTTACATGGAGATTCATTAGACCAGGCTACATTTTTCTAGGCTTCAACAGTTTTGCTGGGCTTCTGTCCATTGCAAACTCAGCTTTCTATCTTAGTGACAAGAATGAGCCCGACATGGTCTTTTGCTGTTGTTGTAGTCCATCAATCCCTACGTTTCTTGTGTTGAATGTGCTGAGATGTTCTGCTTACCACAGTTGTAAAGGATGGTGATATGATTTCCCATCGCAATTATGTCAGCTCCAACCATTCTGGTCATTTGCCTTCGATTCCCTTTATCAACATCAGCAGTTATTGAAAAATGTAAAGCCGTAGTCTAGGTATGATCATTATTGCATGGTTACATTGGACCAGCTGGGACCAAAATTAATATGCATATCTCATACCTGATGGGCCGCTGCAGTAGACTACAATCACTGTAATAGTCAGCTTACAACAGTGTTCGCCTGAATCTTCCAGGTTTTGTGCCAAGCAGCTGCCCCTCTGCATAGTAACCACACAGGGTCACGCTTTCAACATTGCTGCCACTTACAGAACATATATTTTCAATGAATACAAGTCACTGCCTGAGTGGACAAGTGTGGATAAGAAGGCTGGTGTTATCACAATCTCCACCTCATCCAATGCCGTGGTTAAAATGACAGAGATCTCTTTTTCCCTTCCCCATTTTATTGTTTCATGTGAACTTTGTGCGGTGACTACCACTTTTTGTGCATTTTTTTTTGCAGTGTACTGGATGTCACTGCATGTCACAGTGCTGCTGTGTGGAGACTTGAATAAAAAAAAAAATATTAAATAAAAAGTAAATGTGCATCACGCCGTCCCCTGCTGGAGCTCCATGACAGCTGTGCACATGGTAAAATGCTGTGTTTTTACCATGCAAGCTAGTGTGAACAAGACCTAAAAGTAGGTCTAACATAAACCTAGTTCACACCAATGCGTTATTTAGTGCTTCACATCTATGTTTTTTTGAGCTGCTGTGTTTTTGGAAAGGGACTTTTTTTAAACGCAAAAAGCAGAATTTTTACTACAATAGATTTCAATGGAGAAGCTGCTGAACAGGGGCGGACTGATAACTCATGGGGCCCCCGGGCAATAGGGGATCATGGGGCCCCTGTGTCCTTGCCCAAACTAAAAAAAGCCTATGAAAAAGGTACCAGGGACATCTCATGGGGCCCCCTATTGACCCCGGGCCCGAGTTTCCAAATGGTCAGTCTGCCCCTGCTGCTGAAACGCACATAGTAGTATGCTCTTGCTACATTTTTGTTGCATTTTTGCCACGTTATGCATTTTTTTTTTTCTGCCAAGCAACAAGAAAAATTCCACTTTAACAAAAAGAAAGCTGAAAGAAAAAACGCAAAACGCAGTAAAAACACACTGCGAAATGGAACCAGGCCTTAAAGTGATATTAAAGCCCTCAGTATTTAAAGCCCTTTCAACAGCTGGTTTAATCACTTACTGTTCCAGTTTAAGCTGGTGCCATGACCAGGATAGCTCCTTTCTCTTGCAACATCCTATGATACCCTTACATACAGGGACTAGAGTTGTGTCTTCTTACAATGTGAGCACCAATAGAAACACACAGCTCTGTAGCTTAGGATAGCAAGGAACTCCCCTGCTCCTCCCTTGTCCCTTCTCCAGACTAAAGCCCCGAACACACGATGAGAGTATTGGACGAAGGATTGTCCGTTTTTTGGGTTTTTTTGCATGCTAGTCTCATATCAAAAAACAAATAGGTTAATAAAGTTAAGAAAATTCTCGTGAGAAAGAATACAACTTCCCAAGATGATGTATTGTATTGTATTCTTTTGTTTCTGAGCATGCGGCAGTCTTGGTCACTTGATTTTTTTTTTTTACAGACAAATGAAATGAAAATTGTTCTGTAGCGTAGAAGAAAATTTTTTGTGCTTTTCCCTTTGGGTAATTTTGTATGAACTATCATGATCGGCTCTTGAAATCTGTGTACTAACGAATCAGATTATTGGACAATCGCCCCGAAAGCGGTATTTTTTTGTTGTCCAATTTTCTCATCATGTGTACTAGGCATAGTGGAGTGGCTCCAGACTGCACTATCCACTGTTAACTCTTTCCTGTGAAGAAAACAGACGTTCAGGGAAGCAGCACAGTAAGAGCAGGAGCCAGCAGCACATTGAAAGTTATAAACTGCTAAACTGCAGTGCTGAAGTAAGAATTTTAACAAAGAGTTTAATGGAGAGTGTTTATTTTATTGTGCTAAATGTATTAAACTGAAAAACTCTGAGGGATTAATACTACTTTAAGCGTATAGCTGAAATAAACGTAGCTTTATATGAGCTGTATTTAAGATCCTACGCTTTAACCAGTGAAAGCAGCCAAATGGAAACACATTAGTTGGAAGATAATTCTGTTTACCTTCTGCTTTTATTCTCTGTAGGTACACTTGTGGTCTCTATATAATTTCTATTGCAAAATATTTGCTCTTGCTGTTGCTACGCTCATGAAACACTGTTTTACATAACCTGCAATTCACCGACATAAAAGCAAACAAAAGGTTAATAAAGCTCATGAAAAAATGGGTGGTGGATGTGCTGCTATCTCAGTCTACCATTTTGCTGTGCAGGTAGGAAAAGTTCGATAATTCACTTTTGCTTTCTTCTAATACTCAGACATATTGTAGTCTGGGCAAAACACTAGAATTCAAATTAAAAATAAAAACAGTAGCTAAATTTACGGTATCCCCTCAATAAAAATCTAAATCAAAGTATACCCAATAGCAGATATAAAACACTTTCAGTCTAAAAGTGTGACAATATGGGACTGATTATATGCTACCTATACCATATAAACATCTCCAAGCATGTAACAAGTGAAATAAATTCAAAAATAAAAATTGTAAAATAAAATAGTCCAAAATAAAAATCAGTGCAACCATAATAAATATGTGTCCTTCAAAAATTTCTTTTGTCCGGGGGAGCCATTTGGAAGGCTTCAACGCCAGGATTTTTGGAACTTTTACTGAGTGACTATACAATTTTTGAAGGACATATTTTTTATGGTTGCACTGATTTTTATTTTGCACTATTTTTATTTTACAATTTTTATTTTTTAATTTATTTCACTTGTTACATGCTTGGAGATGTTTATATGGTATAGGTAGCATATAATCAGTCACAAAAAAATAAAAAACACACTTTACTTGATGTGCTTCAACACCCAAAATGAGGATTCCTATTGTATCCTAGGGTGCCTGTTCACACCTGATCTTAGCAAAAGTACATGAACTTTTTGGGACAGCATTTTGCCATTTTGATCCATTTTAGACTTTGATGGAAGTGTCTGAAAAACGCGTGTATCATACTTTTCTTGCAATTTCTTGCCTTTTTCCTAGTAACTAGCTTTCCATTGACTAAAGCAAAAAACACTCAAGCCTGGAAGACACATGTACAAACTCATATAAAAAAAAGCTTCAAAAATGCTAGAAGAAGCTCAAGTGTGAACCTATCCTTAGGGTCTGTGATGGCAGGCTATATCGATCACATCAGTTTAGGGGTTTTCAGAGATCATTCAGAATTCATTGATCGGTGCCTCTGGCCTTCTTCAGATGTGATTTGTATTCCCATACTTACCTGTCAATGAATTCTGAGTGATCTTGGATATACAGTATCTCAAACTGATGTCATGAGCATTTTCAAAGCCTATTGGCAAAGACCGTAAACATGATCCACCTTTTATTAATAAGGAGTCTTTGTGGGTTTTAGATGGCAGATTCCAGTAGCTATTTATTGTTTATTTTGTGAACTTTTCTCTGTATTTCGCAGGAGAATCTTCAGCACTTGCCAAGCTTTTGTTTTGAGTGTTTTAAGAAGTGTTAAGAATTTTACAAGCCGTGTGGATCATGGTGTGACCCCAACTCCTGGTAGAACAAGCCTGGTACTGTATTTTAATAGTCCCATTTATTAAATGCATATATTTAAATTTACCAATGAAAGGGCCAATCTACCCAAAATTGTTGTTTTAGTTATAAGTGGAAGCCTGTTGGGATGAGTCAGCCTCTAGTTCCTTATATGTCTTGGATATGCCAAAAAGAAGCTCTCCCTGTCAAAATTCCCATTCCTTTTTTTATGGCCAACTGAGAGTTTTTGGTGTTCTAACTCTTCCTGTTACTTTCCCTATAATATAAAAAAAATGTAAAAACAGCAGGGATAGTGAGAACTCATCATAATGGGCACTTCAGGTGTGCAGACCTGGGGACTCCGCACAGGAATGATGGCACCTCCTCATAATGGACACAGCATGTGTGCAGACCCCAAAACAGAACAGAGATGGTGGGAATCCCTAATAATGAGCACAGGTGGTGTACAAACTCAGAAAGTTAGCATTTGGATGGTGGAAACCAATAATGCTTAGACCCAGGACAACTGATAACATAAGGACAAAATTAAATAAAAAAAAAAATTGGTCCAAAAAAAAAATTGTATAGTTCATATTATACTTTTGGTCTATACTGTATATGATAGATGTCAGTGAGTTCTCAACAATGTCCTCCTATGCTCGAATTTCACAAGCAATGCTGATACAGAGAGGTGTTTGTGTTTGCTCTCACCCTGCACAACAGGCTAGACTGGAAAGCCCCACAATGACTCAACTATCAAGTATCACCATATATACACAGATTATGTGTGCTGATACTTGAACTGGATTTATTGGCACAACGGGTACGGTTTGTGCCAAGGACACCGTGTATGTGTGTGGCCATGGGTTTTCAATGACCCCCTAAGGCTACCAAGGCAACTTCCTGGCAGTACATGTATGCTGAATATTCCATGAAGAGACCCTGTCACCAACTTCCTGGCATTCACTATGCTAAATATTCCTTGAAGAGACTCTGTCACCAACTTAAAAAATTGCAGGTAAAACACAGATAAAATAAGTATGTTAAATACTTACTTACAGTTTTTTTTTTCTTTTTTATAAATTATTTTTATTCACTTGCAATGTGCTTGTGAACTTGCTAGAAAATGTAACTAATCCAGGAAGAGTCAATTTCCTAGCATAACCACTCCCTCTCTGCAAACCAAAGCCCTCTGTCCCTCTGGGAGTTGTAATTAATCTCTGTGCCCGCCCAGCTCTGTTGCCCCTCACCTCCCTACATTACTTTTTTTTATTTTTAAATAGCAACTGATGGAAGAGCAAAGGGGAATGCTATAGACGTCCATTGAGTGAGAGCTCTAAATCTGCTGGGGCTGGTGACTTCCCATCCAAGATGATGGTACCCAGCAGCAGTCCCAGGGCCTTGGATGTCTACACAAGGGAGGCTTGTGGGAGTGTCTAATTACTCTCTGTGCTGGCCCAGCTCTTCTGACGCTCACTTCCCTACATTACTTTTTATTGTAGCAGCCGAGGGAGGAGCAAAGGAGAATGCTATAGATGTCAGTTGAGTGACAGCTCTAAATCTGCTGGGGCTGCTGACATCACATCCAAGATAATGGCACCCAGAAGCAGTCTCAGGGTCTTGGATGTCTACACAAGGGAAGCTTGTGGGAGTGTCTAATTACTCTCTGTGCCGGCCCAGCTGTGTTGCCCCTCACCTCCCTACATTACTTTTTTTTTTTTTAATAGCAGCTGATGGAAGAGCAAAAGAGGAATGCTATAGATGTCAGTCGAGTGACATCTCTAAATCTGCTGAGGCTGGTGACTTCACATTCAAGATGATGGCACTCAACAGCAGTCTCAGGGCCTTGGATGTCTATACAAGGGAGGCTTGTGGGAATGTCTAATTACTCTGTGGTGGTCCAGCTCTTCTGACCCTCACCTCCCTACATAGCTTTTTATTGTAGCAGCCGAGGGAGGAGCAAAGGGGAATGCTATAGATGTCAGTTGAGTGACAGCACTAAATCTGCTGGGGCTGCTGCCATCACACCCAAGATGGTGGCACCCAGCAGCAGTTTCGGGGCCTTAGATGTCTACACAAAGGAGCTTTTAAAGGCTAGTAACATGCCTAAAATACAATTAAATACACCTGTAAACTTATGGGCAGATTTTTGGTGAAATTAATGGTCTGGCAGCAGTGCCTCTTTAAAGTGAATTTGTTATCACCCTCAAACTACTTAACAGGCTTTGAATGTTTAGAGGTGTTGCCAGGCATATACTGTCAGAGCTAAACCCAAAAACATGTTATAAATAAAGTATATTGACCATCTACAGTTGTGTTCAAAATAATAGCAGTCAGACATCACTAACCTGATC